GGCACCTAAACCAGGATGGATCTGCGGCATTTATGTGGACTTGGGTTGCTCTGAAGCCTCTCTGGATCTCGTCTGATTGAGTCGGGCATTAAGGACACCAGTTGCCTTCAACTTCTGAGAAAGAGGGATCGGCTTTGCTTGCACAGTCACACGTTGTTATTCTCTGTGTTCTGAGATGGTCGTTGTTTATGAAGGTGTGTTGTGATGAACTTTTCGTATTTAGACTCTCTAATTAGTCCCAGTGCTAAATCATCAGAAATCCTTTGAATAGCCTACAATTACTCAGTTACTGAAATTGTTTCAGGTTTTTTTTTATTTGCATTCTAAGCTGGATTAAAATTTTTAAAGGTTTAAAGTTTTACCTTCAAATTTTAATAGAAAAACTGTTATGACTCTTGCCACTGTCTTAAATTTAAATTAAAATGTTTTATAATTGTGCATTGTAATTTAAAATTGAACAAAAACAAAAAAAGACGGATTGCCTACTCAGAGTGGAGGAGTTCAGGGTCCAGCACAACAGAAGAATCAGGGTGACGCCTGCAGAGATGGAGACAGTAAACTGTTGTGTCTGTTGCGGTGAAGACGGAGACGAGCAAGAACGCGTTTTAATGAAATGTTTAATCCACTTTGGCTGTATGATAGCACCGTTGCCTCGTAGTGGAAGGTTGGTGGTTCAACATCCAGCTGGAAACGTTCTGTAGTTAGTCTCCCCGTGCATGCAAGGCTTTTCACTGCAGGTGCTCTGGTTTCCACCCAAAGAGCAAAACATGCATGTCAGGGTAACTGGTGACTCTAAACTCACCCAGTGTGTGTGGTTGAGTGTGTGAATGGCTGTGTGTCTCATTTGTCCCGGAGTGTGTGATTTACTGGCGACCTGCTCACGGCTTCCTCCGCCTTTCGCCTGCCGACTGCTGGAGCTGGGTACCAGCTCCCTGTGACCTCGCCAGATGAAGTGGTGAGGAAGACGAATGATGGCTCTACACTCCAACCCTCATCGACACTCGTGATCGTTTGTTTATGACTGAAAGAACCAGATCGCACTAGCTTGCTGATGTTCTACAGCAGAAATATGAAACTTTACAGTGATAACCACCAAACTCATGCTCTGGTACGTTTATTCATTTTGAAGCAGTCGGGTTTGCATCAACACTTACTATCTCGTATCCATTCAACCTATTTGCTTCTTCAAATGTATACTTAGTACTTAATTATATGGCAGCCAACTACAAATCCCAGAAGTGATTGCAGTAAAGGCACGTTAAAAATCTCTTATAGACTTTAATTACAACTGGGGTGAATATTGTTTTGGAAGCATCGTTTTTCATCTTGCTGTAATGAAAACGTGTGGGACAAAGGAGAGGACCGAGTGGGACAGAGGCTTTTCCCCACATGGTTCTTGGGTCTCTGAGGGCAGGAGGCGTCGGGAGGCGTGTGGCTCGCCGTCGGCCACTGGTTCAGAGGACAGCTGTGCAGCACAGCAGCATTTGGCCTCGTGCCTCCAGACAGCAGCCGCCATAAACAAACAGAGCTGAAAGCTCTTGGCTCAGTCCCGTGCTCTTTTATTGAACACGGTGACCTTTCTGCAGACTCACTTCATTAACTTCGAATAGATTTGGAGGGCTGAGCATGCAGAATACCAACAAGCACAAAGGGGTTGCTGGGACGCTTGAATATTTGCCTGAGATCTTTAAATTCAAATCTAAAATGGTGAAATCCTGACTCATTGTTGGACGCTGCTGAAAACAGAAAGTTTGGTGAAAAATCTTTGTTTGTCTACAATTTTAACTAAATAATGATAAATGACCCGCATTTGTGTGGTGCCTTTCAGAGTCAGAGGACCCCAAAGCGCTTTACACTACAGCAGGAGTATTCAGTCCCAGTCCTGGAGGGCCGGTGTCCAGCCCGTTTTAGATGTTTCTCTGCTCCAACACACTTGATTAGCTGGTTGAATCACCTGTGTTGTGCAGCAGCTCATCAGGCTATGCAGAAGCCTGTTAATCACCTGCTGATTGAAATCAAGTGTGTTGAAGCAGAGTTAAAACTAAAACACGCTGGATACCGGCGCTCCAGGCCTGGAATTTAATACCCCTGCACTACAGAGTATCATTCATCCATTCACACACACATTCACATGCTGATGGTGATGAGCTACAATGAGGAACACTGACAGAGGCTGCCAAGCACAGGCGCCATCAGTCCCTCTGACCGCCACCAGCAGGCAAGGTGGGTTAAGTGTCTTGCCCAAGGACACAACAGCAGAGTTCTCTGTTCGGAGCCGGGATCAAACCTGCAACCTAGTTCTGGACAATGTGCTCAACCTCCTTAGCTACTGCTTTCGTGGAGCAGTAGCTAAGGAGCTAAGGATTTATTGGAGATTCGTCTACAACTGAGTGGAGCCACTAGAGGACAGAAAACATGGGAATGTGTGTTTATTCCCCAAAGAGCACAGAGCATTTTCCTTCCCACATCTCCTGTCTGTCTACCTCACTCCAGTCTACAGCCTCATAATTAGGCAACCTCAACCCGCTATTAAAAGAGTTAATTTCAATCAATCAATCAATCAGATTTTATTTATAAAGCACTTTTCAAGCAAAGTGCTTTATAGAATTAAAATGACCCCAAATTCCCATAACAGTTTGAAAACATTAACACACACACACACACACACACACACACACACACGCGCGCGCGCACACACACACACACACACACACACACAATAATATCCTTTTAGATAGCCTGACAAGAGATATAAAGGCTACCGAGGGAGCTACAGAGAAAGGGTTGAGGGAATTTTACCTCCAGAGACCTGGCACATCTGTTCACCACCTTTCCTCGTGTCAATGTTCAGAAGTTCAACTCAACTCAGTTTGCTACAACAAGGGTCATCTCAATGCGTTTTACAAAGTAAACTTTCCAATCGAAGCTACTCCTCAGTGCTCTACATTCAGATCATTTAAGAGTAACTAAACCCCAAAATAACTTTTTTTGCTTATAAACTGTATAATTGGGTCTTTACAAATGCAATCTTTCTGTTTCGGTGCATTTTTGACGTGTTTTGATGTGTATGTGCAAACTTGATGTCTTAGTGCTGCCCCCTGTGGCAGAACAGCGGCTACTGCATTTTAAATTTGTGATTGACTGGAGCTGGAACAATTTCACATCATCGGTACAGTCTCCTCCCACTCCCCCTCCCTCCCAAGATGGGAATTCCCCACACTTGGCCATGCCACTCTGTGCCTCCTGGCAACGCCCGCTTTCATAGCATTTTTCAAATCTTGACTAGGGGCGGAGTTACATTTTCTGATGGTGTGCAGTCCTTCTTTAAAAGTTTCCTATGAAAGAAACCCCAGAAGATTGCATCAAGTCACTGGCTTGTGTCACAGGCTTTACAACAATCCTCATACTAAGGCAGCATGTAGCGACAGTGGAGAGGAAAACTCCCTTTGACTAGAAGAAACTTCCAGCAGAACTTGCTTTAGTATGAGCAGCCAAAGACAGAGTGGATACACACACAAAAACCAGATGAACTAGTAGCAGCACTTTCGATGTTAAAGAAAGCAAAAAGTTAAAGGAAAAGTCTTTTTAACAACTTAAGCTAACAGCTGAAACATCTCCTACCCTCCTACCCTTAGTATCTACAGGAGTGAGTCATCACTAAATCAAACAAATAATCTGTGTTCACAATCTAAAACATGCAGGAAACATGCTAGAGGCAGACTGCAGCACCAGGTATGTCAGCTCGCCAGCCTGAAGGTGCAAGTGGAACATTCTGACCACAGGGGGCAGTAGAGACTGGGTGGCCTTTCATCAACCCTGTAACGGGTCATTTTAGTGCATACTGGCTCAAGAAAATCGTTTAAAAATGTGAAAATTTGCTAAGTGTCCCTTTAATATCAGGAGAGGGAGAATGCTGCCACTCGGCTGATTCGAGTTTAACCAGAAGTTTATGGCAGTATTCATGACAATTGTTGACAACAGCCATTAAAATTCCTGTTTTCAAGCCAAATTTTGTTTAATAAACACATTTTCCAACTGGTAATGGATGACAAACCCAGAAAGGTTTGATTATTACTCACTAAATGGACCACAACAACCAGTTTCAGGAGCAGAGGAGCCAGTTTTTTTAGCCTAGTGAACTAGACCAAATTCTTGCTTTGCAAAGTTTGTAAATAATACATTTATTTAGTCTGGCTTGCCAGGCTGTTTTCTTCCCACCGAGGTGGAAAATGTATCTCTACATTCCATCCAACAGGGCTGTAATCCTCACAAGCAAACACAGACGTGACTGTAGCTCAGTCAGGTTTACAGATGTGGAGCAAATATTTCAAGCAGTGGTAACCGAGGCGCTCACAGCACACGCTGAGATCTGAACCAAAACTGTTATAACTACATTAGTTCTCGAGTTTGTTAGAAACGTTTCTTCTATTCTCCATTCTTTCGTGTTGGGTGTGATTTAATCAAACCGAAATTAGTCGCTTATTTAGTAAATCCTTCACGTTGAACCTTTCCCAGAAACACACAGACTCAGTCTGCTTTCGGGCTTTGCATTCGAGCGCTTGCAGAAGTTTAAAGCCTACTCGTAGCCAAGTTAAGCCCAGAGGAGGTCTTCACGGCTGAGCTCCTTCACTCTGAGATATTGGAAGATGTCTGTTTTCCCACAGTTTCTTCATCTTTTTTTGAAATACTTAAAAGCTCATAAATGTTCAGTTTCACGCTCATACAACCTCTCTTTTATTGCTCCTTGCCTAAATAGAACACAGCATAGTTTGATATTAAATAATGTTTATTTCCATTTCCACGCAGTTACATTTGACTAAACATGTTTTAGAAATAAAGAGAAGGATTAACATGAAAGTAGGTGCACACAACCCTCAGTACTCCTGACTATTCTTCCAAATGGTACTACAGAGAAAACTTCCCAGCAGCAGCAGCAGCAGCTCTACTACCAGACCCTGGAGCAGAGTCCGATCTTTCACAATGCCACGGACATTTTAAATGCAGCCAGAGAGCTTCTAGTTCCAGCCACTAAATGACAGATGTAGAGCACAACAACCCTGTAGTCTGAATCCAGGTGTTTGTGTCCACTTTTACATTACATGCTATAAGTTCCTTCTTCCTGTTGCACTGATAAAACGAGTGATTACGAGCAAACATCACATTCCTAAAGTTAGTTTATTTACTAAAGGCAAATGCATAAAAAAACATCTGTTATGACGTCATCACTACGGGTTGACTCAGAAAAGGAGATAATACATTTATGTTTACTTGTCAATAACATTCCTGACAAGTCTATAAATTCTCAAAGTCACAGTCAAAGTCTGTCATTCTGCACAGGATGTACTTCCACTGCCGATCCCTGAAACAGAAGCACGAGACAAAAGTCTGTCAGTTTAACTGATGCATGTTTTGAGTGTTTTTCTGCTCATTTGGTTCTTGTCTCAGCGGTTACCAAGTGCTGGTCTGACAGCCCGGTTTGACAGTTTATGCACTAACTGCAGCTCTAACTTGAACTGTTTAAAATCAGATATTCTTCAGTAAACTGAAATTGTTAATAAGACAAACCTCAGGACTCCACTGAAGGTGGTCTGGGCTCCTCGGATGAAGTAGCCATAATTTGGGACAACTAACTCTCCCTCTTCTCTGTAGTGTTCAGGAACATCCGTGGTCTTCCTGCAGAAAGGTTGATTATTTATGTGTAAACATTTAAAACGGGTAAAAGCTCTTGAAAACACTCTTCCCGGCAATTTTTTATTTTTATTTTTTTTGTTACAGAGAGCTGGATGAAGATGTTGATGAACGTTGTTCTTGTGCTGGGTAAAGATATGGCCACTATGTTACTGTTAGATATGTTTAAGCTATTGTTGGATTTCGCTCCCGTGACCTTAAAGGTCACGCGAAATTCAAATGGGGGACAGGAAGTATAATTATCTTCTTTTTTCTTATGTAACAGCTCCGGCCGAAACATGTCAGCACTGTGTTCAATAAGAAAAAAGAAGATGATTATGAATCAACACACAGAACGAATATAGAGAAGAAGGGACAGGAGGTGTTTGCTCCACTAAAAACACAGCGCGATGGATGAAGGCGATAGTACTCATGCTTTAATTGAGCTGGCATGCCTTTTTAAATCCAAATTTTTGGTACGTTTGTTTGATTTTAATAAGGTATAAACACCACGTTACCAGGGCTGCCGAATCTCATGGTCATTGGTTATTTTCTAAACAGCGGGGACAGGAAGTGTTTTGCTTAGTAAAGATTTGTTTTTGCCTTTTAAGTTGACGCTAACACTGTAGCCTTCCTCAGAGCACCGCCGACGTTAGGCAGCAGATGATGATGTTGCACGCAGATAAACACAGAAGGAAGTAACGCCACTAACATTGGCGGTGCTCTGAGGAAGGCTAAGGTGTCGACCAAAACTTGTCAGCTTATACGGTAAAAACAAATCTTTACTATGCTCTGTTCAGAAAAGAGTCAGGCAATGGAGTTAAACTTTTGAGCACGTGTGCCGCTTAGGCACCATGCTTCCTGCTGAGTAAATGCGTAACACACACAGCGTGAGTGGTGATGTAATGTGACTGGAATTGATAAGGAAACCATTTGCAATAATGGCAAACAACTCCTAGGAATTGAAATAGTGGGAACCAGTTTTCAGCATGGTTTCCAATTCCCACCCATAGTTGTGGCCAGACTACATATGTATACACATTGCAGCCATGACTGGCTTGTTCAAATGGATCCACATCATCAGTGGACTGCTACCATGTTAAAACAGCTCCAGTCTTCTAGATTTCACAGCAAATGTTTCTTTACTCATATTGGTACGTTTCTTTAAAAATAGTGGCAACACATTTTCGTCTCGGTTGTTTATGTCCACCAACATATCCAACGAGCTATTTCTTCAAAAAGAGGCGGGAAGCAAACTAAGAATAATTATTTCTAACTCTTACAGAAAAACACTTGGCCAGACATTACCTTTAACTCCTGTCAGAACCTGAAAGACGTGAAGGTGAGTTCAGCTGAAAACTCTCACAATAAAAGGTTAGCGTAATATAAGCAGCATATGCAGTACAGATGTGTTGATTATAAACTAAATGTCCTGTTAGCAACTATCAAAAACTACTTCTGAATAACAGATTTGTTAAAAGATAATAATTTTTTACAGTAAAAAATAAAACAAAACAAAAAGACAAATCCCAATCACAGACGACAATAAAGGATGGATTATTTTTTGTTATTGTTGTGCTGCTGAGTGAAGACTATTTTATCATCTAAGAGCCTACAAAAAATGGCTGAATGATGCTGACAGAACATACATGCAGGAGTATGGACAGCGGCGTTTGTAGTAGCAGCAGTAGAACTGCCATTCCCGGTCCAGAACCGATTCGAAGTACTTGCTTTGAACACCTGCCACCAGGCCGTTTCGAGTGCAGGTAGACGTCCTGTAAAAGATACTTGGCATTAGTTGTGATATCCTTTGGAACAAACTCACTCATCTCCATTATAACCCAAAACTCAGGAAGGAAAACCTGGTGGGTCAAACATTTATACAAGATGTCAAAATTATAAATAGTTGAAATGAGTTTTTGGTCCATCCAGGAATACCAAACAGCAGGGAATGCTGCACGTGTAGACAACTGTCCCAGTAACAGTCTTCAGTCGTTCAGTCAGTTAGGGGGAGGCCAGCGTACTGCTGGGTTTACATTTAAACATAGCGCCATGGTACAGAGAGCCAGGCGTCGCAGTGATAAAAAGCATTCACTGTTGGCTGGCTGCAGTCAAACATAACACAACACAAACCTAAAACGTTTACTTCTCCAAACCACTAAAAGTCATCTGAGACAGAGCTTGTAGGGTCAGCGATGTGTTTAGGCGAATGACTGAAGCTGCTGTCGTCAGACAACAATTCATCCTTTGAACCATCACGTGAAAGTGATTGTTAGTCAGAGGTGTTTATGTGCGATTGTGGAATTTGAAAAGGTGAAAATTGAAAGAGGTAGATATGTGGAATTAAAGGCTACGACAAGATTTACTGAGCGTTTACTACTGACTGAGTCTGTTGTGGGTCATTGTTTCAGACTGCTTCGACTATCCAACAGCTTTAAAGTGTGTGTTGCAAGTGTGTGTGTGTGTGTGTGTGCGTGTGCGTGCGTGCGTGCGCGCGCGTGCGTGCGTGCATGTGTGCGTGTGCGTGTGTGTGTGTGTGCGTGTGTGCGTGCGTGCGAGTGTGCGTGTGCGTGTGTGTGTGTGTGTGTGTGTGTGCGTGCGTGCGTGTGTGCGCGTGCGTGCGTGCGTGCGTGTGTGTGTGTGTGTGTGTGCGCGTGTGTGTGTGCGTGTGTGTGTGTGTGTGTGTGTGTGAGTAGTGTGTGTGTGTGTGTGTGTGTGTGTGTGTGTGTGTGTGTGTGTGAGTAGTGTGTGTGTGCGTGCGTGCGTGCGTGTGTGCGTGTGTGTGTGTGTGTGTGTGTGTGTGTGTGTGTGTGTGTGTGTGTGTGTGTGTGTGTGTGGGTGTGTGTGTGTGTGTGTGTGTGTGTGTGTGTGTGTGTGTGTGTGCGTGAAACCTTAAAACTACTGTGTGATATCGCTGAAGGACCACTGATGAGTCATACTGGATTAAGCATGTTAGAATTCCTTAGACGTAAGACTGCTCCAGGAACTGAAGACACATGGCGGTCCTGGAGTGGGACGGTGATTTATACTGGCCTGGGAGGCCTGTTTTACTTTTCCAAAGGAGAACACTGTAAACAAAATTCAGATTGTTGCAGCCGTGAGCTAGATTAGAGGAATATGCAAAGTGTCTGATAAAAGGTGCAAGTCGTGGACCTTATTTGTTAATTTATCTGCATGTGGACACTATAAAGTTTAGCGAATTCTTAATTACTTAAAGATGTAGAACAGCCTTTTAATCAATACATATGCTGTGGTTTCTTGTAGGAGTTAATGCCTTATGAGTCATACTCAGTGGGGGGGAAAACGGTGCACTATTTCCAGGAACTAGCTGTGACCCACGTCACAGCTGAGCTTCAGGTTTTGGAGTCTTATTTCCTGATGTTTGGACATCTCACCTCGTATTGCATCGCAGCAGTGACTCTACCGCTGACTTGCAGCGTGGATGTTTTCTCTCCACAACTAACACAAGCCTTGAGGAGTTCTGCTGTGGGGTAGAGTTGCTAATGCTAACGGTTAGCTTCTACTAGCCAAGATGTTCGCTACTGTTTCCTAAACGCTAAACCAACAAAAGCCTTCCCCGTCATGATTCAGGAAGGGTGAGTCTGTGAAAAGTGACAGTGTGATGTAGATCTGTCAGGTTTTTCTAATCCTAGTGTTCACCGTCTGTTATCGGAGAGTAAAGCAGGAGATAGGTGTAGGAGACTATTTTCATGTTCAGCCTGCACGAAAACTCCGAGTGACTAATTATAATCAGAAACAAGATTTTAAAAATGTTTTTTCTGTGTTCCACACTTTTAAATTTAGATGTCTACTGCTGTAACTGGAGGGTTTAATTCATGGTGAAATAAAAAGTATATGATCAGTGTTTGGGTTTAATCTCATGTTCCATTTCTGTAGGTCCAGGTCCTGTGATCTATATCCCAAACAACGAAGCCCACCAGAGGAGCTGGCGGGATTGCCAGCCTAACATTGGAGGGACAGAACACTTCCTCTGTAAGGTGTCCAGGGATTATCATAACCACACACCAAACCCATCTCAGCCGGCACCTCTTGAGCAGCTGTTCCACTATGACTATTTCCTACATGTCGGTGCTCTCCCTATTTTAAAGGCTGAGCCCAACAATCATGCAGAGGAAAATCTTTCTTTGGGTCACCATTCAAAGCTCATGACCACAGGTGAGTGTTGGAAGGTAGATCAATGGCTTAACCTTCTATAGCTTAGTTTCTTCCTCACTACAGCAGACCAGTTTAGCACCAGCTAAAGTCGCTGGTCCAGTTCACCTTGTAACCTTAACTCATTCACTGCCATTGACGACTAAAGCCGTCATTTGCATTTTTTTTTACTGTTTGAGCATCGGAACGAGCCCCCGCGCTGATAGAACAAACATCTCAGCCCTGAAGCCGATCTTCATCCGCATACGTCACAGACTACATTTACATGCAGCCAATATCCGGGTTATGATCGGGTTAAGGTCGGTGTTTGGGTTTCTGAGTTGATCAGAATAACCCGTTTACAAGCATAAATAGAAAGAGTTACCTCTAACTTGCATAACCCGATTTAAATGCGGACGTTGGGGTAGCGTCAGGACGTGTGGACTACGTCCAGACGCAATATGCGTCATTTCCGGTTCTTCTTGTTCCGGTATCCGTGAAAACAACAACATGTTTCCCAGTTCGGAAGAGATAGCGACCGTGTTTGTTTGCGCTTTAGTTTCCTCGTCACTCCAAAAGTGTGGTGCTGTGCCGCGACTCGCCATGTTGCTCCCAACTTGTTGTTTACTTCCGGTTTTCTGGCGCATGCAAGACGTCTCGCTACTCAAAAGACCAAGATTCCTTGCGAACAGAGCATGTGCAGAACACACGCTTTGATGGGGATATCCCGATATGCGTTTACACGACCAAACATTCGGGTTAGAAAAGGGTTACCCCAGGTGTAGTAACCGGGTTTTTAAAAACCCGGTTATGAGCATATCCGGGTTTTTGGCGGTGTTTACATGGACCTGCGGAACCGGGTTATTGTGAATATTCGGGTTTTAAAAGAGTTACTGGCTGCATGTAAAAGCACTCACAGATCACGTGATCAGGAAGCAACACATCCATGTGTTTGGAGATCGTTTTGGACCGTTCCTGTAAAAAAATTGAGGCGCGAACCGGGAAAGTGTCTGCCGATCACAATTTGACAACGGATTATGAAAGAACGGATAACGCTCGAAACACGCGGCTTCTTCCTGATGTAAGAGGTGAGTCTCCGCTTTGTTTTGGTTGTTTTGGCATCGACATCATGCTAGCACGCAAAGTTCTGTGACTCTTAAAAAAACAGTAAAAACAGTGAGAAGCGCTGGCAGCGAAGGCCGTTAGTGATCAGGATACGGCTGGCAGTGAATGAGTTAAGCTCCCTCCTTCCCTTATTTATGAACAAGACTCTGAGATCCCTGCACTCCTCCACTCAAGGTTGGACTTTTTTCCATGACCCAGAGTACGCAATCCACCCTTTTCATTTGATGGTCATGGCCTCAGATTTGGAGTTGCTGATTCTCATCCAATACATTTCACACTTGCTTGCAGATCAGATTTAGCAAGAGCTAAAGGTCATAGTTCAATGACCGTAAGAGAACCACATCATCTGCAAAAAGTAGAGGTGCGATTCCGCCACCAAGCCCAACAACCAGCTCAGGGGCCTAGTGGTAGAGTGTCTGGCCCGAGACTGGGAGATCAGGGTTCTATTCCTGGTTGGGTCATACAATCAATCAATCAATCAATCAAAGATACTTTATTAATCCCAGAGGGATTTGAAAAAATGGGACCCAATGCCTCCCTGCTTGACACTCAGCATTAAGGGGTTGGTTTGGGGGGGTTAAACCACCAAATGGTTCCTGAGCGCCGCAGTGTCTGAAGCTCACCGCTCCCCCAAGGAATGGGTCAAATGCGGAAAATAAATTTTGCACACACATCGGTGTGTGACAACTAATGGGACTTAAACTTTGACTTTAATCTCCGGCGTATGAAAGTGCTAGAAAATCACAGATGGGTATCAGATCAGTATGGTGACACTCAGCTTTCACTCTAAGAGTTTCTTTCATCAGGAGCTGAAGACAGGCTCAAGGAGACCAACATAAAAAATGATGTAAGCGCCACATTTCAAATCTCTGAGTTTGTTTCACTTTTACTTTGATTAAAGTACAATTTCAAATCTGCATAACAAGCTAGCTTGAAACATTTTTTCATGTCTCTTGGAGATAATGGGTCATTTTTACCATTAATTTCTGGAAATAACCATCAAAATGTGGTTGAAAATGAATTACATGATGCCCAGTTGTTTAAAAATATAGGTGGCTTCGTAACAAATAAGCATAAAAATCAGGGAGTGGGTCTAAGTCTCTGGGTGACGCCTTATTAGATGCCATGTTTTCTTCTACGGGAAACCGTGAGGACAAAATGCATTTATTGATTTGTAATAAACGACTACAAAACTTTTGTCATTCTTAAATGTTGTTGTTTTACACATTTACCTCTTCACTTGTTGCCAGTGATGAAAGGGAGTCTGATGTGCTTGTTATTTTGCTAAAGTTTGCACTCTTCAGGGCTTTTAACCCTAATGGGCATCCCTTGGTAAGGTCTTAATCCAACACAAAAATACTGCTTCCTTGCAACAATTTAGGTATCTATTGCCTCCTATCGCCAGGAAAAATACACACTGTCACTTTAACAATGATCTAACATAGTATAACTGTAAATTTTGTGGAGAATAAAACAAAATAAAATAAAATTACGAAGTGGTTTTCTCGTATTTGTCTAAAACATCTGCTAAGACCTGGTTTGGATGTCCTACAGACGTGATCTGGACTGACGGACTGATCTGCACGGCCGTGAGACGTTGACCGTTTGCAGGGTAACGTGTCTTGGCCCGAAACCAACAAACTGCATAGAGCTGCCTTCAGTTGAACTCATGAAAATCTATTGGAGACATTGTTCATAAACATTATTTACTTGTTTGTCAGTGGATCCTAGTTGTGTGTGTTCGCAGTGGTGTTTAACTAATACTGATTGTATAATCAATAAAGAATGTTCACAAGAAACAGCATTTATGAAACTGACTCTTGACGTTAGGATATTTGTTTGCAGCAATAAGGCCGGGCAAAAACCTTTACTAGTTTACAGGGACTGAATTCAGGGACCAAATAAATCTGGATGGAAGCAAAACCTCTCCAGAGACTTTTACTCTAAACAAAGTGAACTTTCCATTTAAAGCTTTTCTCTTTCTTGAACTTGGGTTGGCTGTCTGAACCCGAACCCTCTACCTTTGCTTTGTTGTATAAATGAAGAGTTCATTTGCAAAAACAGATTACTCTTGTATTAAATTTCCAAAATGCATGTTATTAATATTTACTTAATGGGATATTGGTCAAAATAAAGTTTTCTGATTTTTATTTAAAAAATTGCTTTTATCCGTTTTTCTCAATTGAACTATTCTAAAACAAGTTAAAATTTATAAATCTGCACTAATGAAATGCATGTGCCTCACAGCCACGTCACGTTTTCTGGATAAGAACCGATTCATAAGCCTTTTGTCTTATGCAAAAGTTATGTGACCTTTTGTTTGTTAGACCTTTCAGATCTTAGACCCTCTGAATCTCCTTTCAGACTAAAGAATCAACTTAAAACTAAAAAATCTTCTTGAGCTATCATGCATTTCTTTTCCTCTTTAAAGACAAACATCACACAGCCCTGCGTCACAAATAAATCTGAATAAATGCAACAAGCTAGTCGAACAGTTATCCAAGTCAGCACCCACCACTCCATGCCAGCTCGGTTGATGTCATCCCACCAGCAGTCACTGGGCTCGCCCAACCCTTCAGGTGTGGACTGGCACTCAAATGACCACAGGCGGTCTGAGCCCTCCTGCTCACTGAAGTAGCTTCTGATGGCAACAAGAACCTCTCCATGAGGACACTGGAAGTTGAAGCCCTGGCGGTAGCTGTTCACCCAGCCCATGTCGTAGTGGTCGTAAGGCTGAGCAGCCACCACCGTCATCAGAGCAGCCAGAACCAGCGGAGCAGGATTCATGATGAACAGACAAGCACGTCTGCTCCTCTCCCTCACAGCTGCCTCTGTTTAAACTCCTCTGAGCTCTTTGTTATCCAGATGTTTGGTATCCAGTGGTGATGTGTAATTTTCTGGTTGCAGGACAAGTCCAAGAGTGGTCCTTCGCTAACTTTTAAGGTCGACTCTGACAGACACCGTTCGAAAAGCCTTTATGCAGATAAGGGTTTTCCTTAAAAGACACAGCCTTTATTGTGAATGCTATTCAGATATTTATGTGATGCACTGTGAGACAGGAAAACTTACGCATGTGTTAACCATCTAAATGCTCGTGTGGCTCACTTTGAAGAGTGAACACTAACAATTTACTGGCCGGTTTTCTCACATCTTACTGCCTTCTGATGAGGCAGTTTTGCAGCAACGGAGTAGAAATGAACATTTTGACATTTTTTGACACATCATCACATCACAGCAAGCTAAAACATTGTTTTAGCGACAGTTCTACTAAAAAGTGAGGAATGTGTGTTAGGCCCTGTTTGTGTTTGGGATACAATAATAGTATATCTTAGAGTGTTTTTCCTTTAGACTGCATGGTGCCACATCTACGTGGAAATCATTTGTGGATGAGCAACAGAGCTGAGTGGGTTGGTTCCATAAAAACGTCTCTGATCATCTTTGCCAACATCAAACAGCTCATTCTCCTATTAAACTTGTTTTGAGCTTCTGGTACCACAGACACTGCCGGTCAGACATCATGGCTTTGCTTCATCACAATGGAGACAGCTGGAGTCGGCTCCTCTGGCTGCACCTTTCACCTCATCTCTTTTGTGGTCTCCCAACTGACTGACTTGTGTTTAACAAGATTAGTTTGCAAGAGTTTCAGCCAAAACTGAGATTTTGTTCAAATTATGACTACATTTTTGAGAAATCACTTAAATAACTTTGTCTAATTCAGTGTGACATTTTGGAAAAACATCTTTTCATCTCAACGTTGCCATTGTCCCACATGACACGCTTGTCCAGGATAACTGGATCACCCACCGAATGGTTCGGGTTTGTGGATTCTGCACTTCAACAAGCACGATTTCTGTTCAACATTTCAGAGATCAGAGAGTTGGTATGATGATTCTGGAGCTGTAGCCTGAGAAGTGTGTGCAGCAGCTGCCTTTCCAGACCAGTGTCTGAAAGTTTTAGTCTGGGTAGTGCAGATGACGCTTTTCTTCAGAGATACGACTGGTCAGATAAAACAAACATTGACTGAGAAAGAGGTATTACTATTATTATTATAATTATTACTACTAGTAGTAGTAGTAGTAGTAGTAGTAGTAGTAGGAGTAGGAATAGTAGTAGTAGGAGTAGTGAAAAGTAGAAGTAGTAGTAGTAGGAGGAGGAGGAGGAGGAGGAGTAGTAATAGTAGTAGAAGTAGTAGTAGGAGGAGTAGTAGCAGTAATAGTAGTAGTAGTATAGTAGTAGTCAGTGACTTGATGCAATTTGCTGGGTTCCTTATATGGGAAACATTATTTCTGATTGGCTTAATGAACTGACCTGAATTGGAATGTTTATTATGTGAAGTGCCTTGAGACGACTCTTGTCGTGATTTGGCGCTTTATAAATAAACTTGAATTGAATTGAATAGTACTGAAAAGTAGTAGTAGTAGTAGGAGTAGGAGTAGGAGTAGAATTAGTTGTAGTAGTAGTAGTGAAAGTAGTTATAGTAGTAATAATGGTAGTAGTACTAATAGTAGTAGTAGTAGTAGTAGTAGTAGTAGTAGTAGTAGTAGTAGTAGTAGGGATGCACCGATACTGGTATTGGTATCGGTAACTTTTACCGATACCAGGAACCGATACCAATGCAGTTGCTTGAAAATGGCTTCACTGTAACTTGTCATTTCTGTTGTAGTAGTTTTGTGACTGAGGTTACACTGTGTTTGTTTGGCGGATAATTTTATTTCATAAAAAGGGGCAGAAATCTTAAGATTTTTTCTTCTATCTGCTCCTTTTCATTCAAATGTTTTTTTTTCAATATGTTAATGTATCCTGTATTTGTTTGTGTTTATTTTATACATTGTGAATGAAATAAAAGATTTTAAAAAAATGATTTCCATTCATATATTTTACTTTTTATCTACCTCAGTTTTTTCCTGTTGAAAGCAGAAAATAAAATAAAATCTGTATTCCAAATCATTGCATTTTTTTGTGTGGTAGATGTATCGGTATTGGTAATCGGTATCGGCAAGTACTCAGATCCAAGTATCGGTATTGTATCGGTTTGGAAAAAAGTGGTATCGTTGCATCCCTAAGTAGTAGTAGTAGTAGTAGTAGTAATCACTGATCCAGATGTTGTAGTTTTAAAATATGAGCAGATTAAAGATTAAAGATGCTCAATGAGTGGAAAAATTGGTTGTAAATGCCCTTTAATATTTGGAAACCTGAAATTTAAGCTTTTTTTTTTTTAGCTTTGTCTGAATTTCCACAACAGAATGACTCGAACAATACCAGTAATTTGTTTAGATCAATTTGTGTTTATCTTCACCTGATTTTCCGCCAAAATCAACATCCCATTGAAAGAAAATCCAAAATTTTTTGATTTTTTTTTTCTTCTTAATTTTAAAAACTAACAAAAACAAAATGGTGGTCTTGCAAAAATGACAACAAATAAATTCAGTAGATATTTAGGGGGAGGAAAACAAAAATCACTGACTTTAATCTCTGACAAATGTTAGTTTTAAACTTAATATTCAGACTTTTTTTCTCAGAAGTCTCAGAATAAACAATCAAGGCTTTAACTAAATTATTTCAACTGTTTTTTAATGTTGTTAATCAAAAAGGTTGGCTTGTATGTAACAGGACAAACCCATTGTTTGGGTTTCTTTGGCACCAACCTGGCAGTCTTGTTCTTACAGGGCAGAGCTCCATCCACGTTACTGAAATGTTGCACAGACTCAGAAGGGGGGAAAAAAGCATTTGAAGTTGTCCCAGTTAAAAATATGAGCACGGTCTAATTTTAATCATGGGATTTATCCTTTGCTCCACATATTCCTAAGTTTCTTTGACCTCTATCCCTTTACCAGGGTTAGTACATTCCTCAGATGTCTGGTCCATTTAATTCTGCACAAGTCTTTTGCTCCTTGTGGATGATCTGAGTACTGCAGGAGGCAATGCCAATTTAATTTTCTAATTATTGATCATATCAATGTTTTACTGACATTAACACATAACTAGATCAAGCATTTGAAATAATAAAATAATTTCTATTATTTCTCTGAAGGGTAAAAATGAACTTAATAAATAGTTAAACATTTGCTTCCACTGACTTTAACTGGTTAGTTTCAAATCAAATCTTCTAGTAAAACCCGTTTACACAGTCGTATCAGTACTTTTATTTGGCATTTTGTTGGCTTTGAACGATGAGCACAGAAACCCATTTGATCACGGTGTGCCTCCGAATCAGATGTCATGTGACAGATCGTCCTCAAAGCATCTAAAAATAAACAAGAGCACATGTTAAAGAATGGTGTCTGGTGAGTCACTGCAAGCAGAGTAACACAAATGTCAAAATCAAGCAGATACTGGACGTATTTTTAGATGTTACAGTCTATTTAAAAATCTCTATTTAGAGCAGATCTGTTGGCGCTTTGAGAACTTCGGGCTTCATTTACGGTCCTTTGATCTGACGGTGACTTCTTGGCCTCAGTGTGTTGCAGAGCTCACAGAGGAGGCAGCCAGGCCTGTAACGGAGCTGGTGTCAGTTTGAGATCTGAACCGGCTGGGGTTCATCTGGAGTCAGATGTGGCTGCTTTGGCAGAAGAAACATGGACGGACTTATAAGGATCCTAATGAAGAGCATGAAGGAGACTGTGTGGAGGATAATGTGAACTTGATGTTTGCTGTGCTGCAGTCCTCTGGTGGCTACGTGGAAAGTGAAGTTAAAGACCTTCGTGCTCACATCTGAAAACCAGTCTTTTGTAAGATAAATATTTGGGAGCTACGGTTCACGTGTGCGCTTCATCATACCTAACTCCAGCTGTGTACTAACAACGGTGGCCTCTGACTCAGCACTGAACATTTCTAGAGAATAAAAACACTTTGCATTTTAATTCAATTCAATTCAAGTTCATTTATAAAGCGCCAAATCACGACAAGAGTCGTCTCAAGGCACTTCACATAATAAACATTCCAATTCAGGTCAGTTCATTAAGCCAATCAGAAATAATGTTTCCTATATAAGGAACCCAGCAAATTGCATCAAGTCACTGACTAGTGTCAGTGACTTTACAGCAATCCTCATACTAAGCAAGCATGCAGCGACAGTGGAGAGGAAAACTCCCTTTTAACAGGAAGAAACCTCCAGAGAATCCTGGCTCAGTATAAGCAGCCATCCTCCACGACTCACTGGGGATGGAGAAGACACACACACACACACACACACACACACACACACACACACACACACACACACACACACACACACACACACACACACACACACACACACACACACACACACACACACACACACACACACACACACACACACACACACACACACACACACACACACACACACACACACACACACACACAGAGAGTGGGGAAAATCTATTAGAAACATGGACGGGTTGGTGGTGGCCCACGGGCTGGGTTCTATGCTTCCTGCGTACCGTCACCCAGCCGGCCTGAGGTCCCGGCTGCTCGGGTTCTACTGGAGGACCGCTACGGGGTGGTTCTGAGCTAGTTAGCCCCGCGCTAGCTAAGTAGCTACGGCTGTTTACGGGGTTTTCAACAGCGCAGAGCCGGGACTCCAATTCCGACACCCTCGCCTCCAAAGCTACAAAAATGCTACATTTATTACACGTACCATTATCGCTAAAGGAGGCAGAGGAGTAACTAAACATCTGACACAGAGAGCAAGAGATAGGAGACGGAGAAGCAGAGACAGAAGTAGCCATAGCCGTGCTGAGGCTAAGCTAACTGGACGAGCAAACTGTTCAACACCAAATAAACTGCGTGCGAACTCAAATGGTTCCCTAAAAGCTAGGTGGAACAACAGAAAAATGTGTGTTTTAGCGTGCTTATGTGCCACAATAACTCAGAGATATCCTGTTACAGAGAAATTAAATCGGATTTAGCGAGCCC